TTCAGGCTATAAATAGCCAATTAAGCTAATTAAACAAGCACCACAATTGCTTCATGCAGTTCAGCTTACATTCGCACCTAAAAATAAATTCCCGAGGTGTATCAAACCTGTCAAGACCTAAAAAAAACACACAAGATCACACACTGGCACTAAACACACGCACATCACACGTATCCTCTTCCCCCACAACCCCGCCTGTCCAATTTCACATCCATCTCCTCCAAAGACAGGTTTCCATCAGAGTCTTTCCTCCTTCCCTCACAGGAAAGCCTCCAGGGCGCAGCTGGGGTTTGCATCCTTGCAGAAACCTATGTCTGACCACTTCCATCGCAAGCAAACCCCCGGCTTTGGTGAGTGGGGTCCTGGTGGGTGCTGGGGGTCTCTGGGTGCTCCAGGAGAAGAGGCCCGTAGGGAAGGGAAGGTCTTGCCGAGGCAGCCGGGGCACTAGGAGAGGTCATGGCCGGCAGGAGCCGGCAGTGAGGTCTGCAACGGGGGGCACGTGCATCTAGAACCCCTCGTAGCCTGCAAGGAAATGAGTGGGGTTCAGCACACCGTGGCCCCAAAAAGCTGATGAGCTTTGGAGACACCCAGGGCTCATCTCCCCACCAGTTCGGTGCCTGTTACTTCTACGTAGGCAGTGGAGGTCAAAGCTGGGTCCAGCCTCTTCCTCCTGAGAGAAGGCGACTGTGGAGCAGAGCAAGAACCTGCCGTTAGGCAATGCATGAGCAGAATGGTGAGCCCAGCACCCGGCTGATGAACCGAGGGGACCCGGGTTTCTGTAGAGGGACCAGGGTCACAGTGGGGCAACCTCACCTTCCTGGTGGGCTGAACTGTGGCGTAGATGGTGCAGCCTTCAGGCTCCTTAGGGTGGCTGGGCCCCTCCTGCCAGGGGAAAAAACCAGTTGAGATGCATAAAGAAAAACAAATTTTGGGCAAAAGGGGGGGTCTTGGCAGCTGCCATGGAAGCATCCAGCCTGGGGGCTGCACAGCCAAGCCCACAGGGCAGCTTCTGTCCCCACCGCGGGCACAGGACTGCCCCTACCTGCGTTTTGGGGCAGATGACGGCGTAGACGGTGTTTCCTGCCACGGTGGCCTCACTGGTCCTGTTCTGGGGGAGAAAGCAACCTCAGGCTGGTTAAAGGATGCAACCCGGGGTGACAGACATTTCCAAACAGAGGTCCCGTCCCTCCAGGAAGCGCAGGGAGGGGATGCCCAGGGACACTCCAGGCACTCACGGGGTCTTGGCCAGTTCGGGCTTTGCCCACCTCCTCATAGATGGTCAGTATCTGCTGCTCGAGGTTTCCTGGGGAAGTTTGAAGGGTCAGTGTAAGATGGCTTTCTGACACATTTCTGTCAGTGTTAGAGCCCCAAGGGGGGGTCAGCCCTCAAGCAAAGCGAAGGAAGAAAGAGGTCCCTTGGCAACTGGGAGGTTTTACTTTGTTGGCACCTGGCAGGGGCTGGGGAGGGATGCTCCAGCTCAGAATAAAACGAATATCCAAACTGAAATAGTCCTCTAGACCCCATGGGACAAGGCCTCCAGGTTTGGGCACCGATGCTTAGGCTGCCAGGATGCTCAACAACCTGGACCACCCTGCATCAGCAGGCATGGGCAAAGGCTTCGTGCCCTGTGCAGCGCCTGGCAGGGGGTGACAGCGCCCAGCGTCTTATCCCGCGTCAGCCCCAGGAGGAGGGACAGCCCCAGGGCCAGCACGGAGAGCGCGAGGAGCACAACAGCGGTCAAGAGGAGGGCAGGGGCTGCACAGCCAAAACGCCACGGCTGCCTGGCCCACGAGCTACCGCCCCGACCCTGGGGACAAACCTCCCGGGGGGTCCTTTCCTCGCTTCCTCTGCCAGTAGCACACGACGAGGGCTACGGAGAGGGCCAGTGCCAGCCCCAGGAACACAACAGCCACTGCCCACAGTGGAAAGCTGTTTCCTGGGGAGGAAGGAGAGACCTTTGATGAAGGGCAGAGCCTCAAGCCATTTCTAAACACAGTCCCCATCGCAGCCCGCAGAGGACAGACCTGGCCAGGAAACCCCAGCCCCGGTTCTATCACCCGTTCTTGGCTACCACATTTGCTCTCCCAGGAGGGGAAGCTGGGCACATTTTGGCATCAGCATGATGTCCTCTGCAGTTTCACTGGCCCAGGCGGGGAGATGAAGGGCTCCGAGAGAGGACTGGAAGTAGCGAGGCTTGCACACCCCCTAAATCCTGCTTTTACGGAGCTGAGGGGAAATTACCTGAGGCCACGGCGCGGCAGGCTGCCGCAATGTCGGTGCTGGACGTGTTCCAGCTCACCGGGTTACTCGCGTTGCAGCGGCAGACGGTGGGGTCGGCATCGCCATCGACCTGCCGGTGCAGCCAGGGCTGGTGCTCCAGGGCTCCCAGGGGATCCCCGGTGCAGGACCAGGCGTAGGAGACCTTGCCGGCGCCGGGCACGGTGCAGACCAGCGAGAGGTTGCACCAGTCCTGCTCCCAGCGCAGGATGCTCGTCTCCACGTGCGGCAGGTGGATGGGCTCTACAGGGACAGAGCTGGTGAGAGGGGATGGGGGGACAGGGGGACAGGGTGATGGGGACCCGGTACTCACCCCACACCGACACGTGGAAGCACATGGCAGTAATATTGCCTGATGTGTGCTCAAAGTCTGCCTCATAGACCCCACTGTCTTCCATGCTAACCGGGCTGATCCGCAGGGAGAGGGTCTCCTGCTGGAAAACAGCTCTCCCAGAAAAACGACCCTTGGAGTATGAGACATCTTTATTCTTCTCAGCCGTCAGGATCCGGTGCCGCTTTTCTGCCTCCAGCATCAGTTTCCATTCGACCCTTGCCCACCGCTGTGGGGGTTTCTCCGGCAGCAGCTGCAGCGTTCCGCTGGCAGACACGGCTTGTTCCCGGCACTTTGGGGGTCCTAAAGTGGAGAGGGGTGAGCAAGGGCCCACGGCCCTGGGAGCTGCTCCGTGGCTGGGGAGGGGGCCCAGCTGCTGGAGCCCACCCGTGCCCCAGTCCTACAGCCCCCAGCATGGCCCCCCCTGCTCCCTGGGGGGAGGCTCAGCCTGGATCCCCATCGTCATCCCCATCTCGGGGCTACCCCTCTCTCTGCGCCATCCCAGGCTGGTTGCGTGTCTGTCCGCACCCACTGCTCTGGCCACACATTGCAGATGCTCATGCAATATCCTCTGCCCTGCCCAGAGCAGGGATGGTTGCAGACGGTCTGATCATCGCATCTGGTTGCTCATTTGTGCCCCAGCTCCTTCCTTGCCTGTCCAACCTGGGGAACAGCCGGAATTTTGCCTGCTGACCCCTTAAAAAAAAATTCTGTGCTTGCCTCCCTCTTTTCAGTGCAGCCCCGGATATCAAGGGCTCTGGCAGAGGCAAGATAAAAAAGCCCCTAAAAGAAACGAGCACCCACAGCCGCTGGGGCCGAGCGCGCACACAGCCTCGCAGCTTCCTCGTGGCTGCTTGTGGTCAGGGCAGTGCCAGGGGCTGCCTCAGCCGTGGGTGGACCTTGCACACTACAGCCCCACACGACCTCCCATCTTGCAGCCCTTGGCAAAGCCCGGCTTGCACAGCCGTCAAGGCAAGCATCAGCCTCTGGGAGCTTGGCTTAGCCCACTCATCCCGCAGCCCCCGGCAGGGCTTTGCCTCCATGCAACCGGTCTGAACACTGAGCCCTGCTCGGGGGGCACCTGCAGAGCCACCAGCTTTGCTGTCTCCTGGCATGACCAGGAGACCCCAAGCAGCTCCAGCTTAAACCTTGTCTTTGCAAAGCCGCAGGCGTGAGGATGCCCGCCCTCACCAGACCCTGGCCGCAGAGGGGACACCCCTATACTCAGGGGATCTAGGAACACAAGGGGCTGGAGCAAGCAAAGGCAGAAGCATCATCCCCTGGGGAAATGAAGGAGCAGGCTTGGGAGCAGGCACTATTTGTTAGCTCCCACCCTGATGGCTCACACCTGGGACCTGCAGCTCATTACAAAGAGGGCCCTTCCCACCACTCCAGGTTCTGAACAGCCTGCAAACAACGGGGACTAGTGCTTACTGCTGCTTTGCAGGCATCTAGTGCTGCAAGAATGGCGTGAGGGCACCTTAACGCCCTTGTCCGAGGCTCCTGGAGCTGCCCCAGAGGGAGGGTGCTGGGGCAGTGGGTGTACAGAATTGGGGGAGAAATAATGCAAAAATACACCCTGCAGCCTGGAGGTGCGATTGTAACCCACTGCCTGCAGCCGGTGTGGGCGCTGGGGCTGGGCCGGTGCAGCATGCCACAGATTAACCATGCCAGCTCCCGCAGGGAGGTTTTGCAGCTCAGCTGAGCCCATGGTTGCTGCAGGTTCTGCTGCTCCAAGCAAGCAACGCCCCATCTTGTGCACCCCTGGGCAGTGAGTGCCCCCCAGCCCTGCACCATCAGGGTGGGCAATGGGAGACACGTCTTAGGGTGGCAAGAGAGGGAAGGTGGAGGCGATGCTCGCCCCGAGAGCCGGAAAGGGTGGCACGACGGGGGATGCAGAGATGTGGCCAGGAGATGCTTCAGGCACCAAGCTGGCCCCCGAACCCGGGCGTTTCTCCCCTCCCCTTGCACAGAAGTCACTGTTTTTAGGAAGAAGGCCCTCAGCTACCACCAGCTCCGCTGAAATCATGGGGGAAAGGTGCTGCGTTTATTCAGCGGAGGGACCTGGCCTTGAAAAGCTGCTTTTCTGGGTGCAGGAAATGTCAGGGCCAGCCACAGGGTACAGGCGCTGCTGCTGCGGGGAAGTGACTTCTTTTGGACGAGCCCCGCAATGCTGCAGGCAGCAACGCCGCCTGCAAAAGGGAACTCACGCTGCGTGAGAGCCGTCCTGCCTCTACCCGCGCTGGGCAGAAAAAGAAAAGCCAAAAAAACCCCACCCAGTCCCACTCGATCTCACCAGGGACCCCGAGCCCGGCTTGCCGCCCAGGAGCCCGCAGCCCTGCCCGGACTGAGTGCCTGTGGCTACCCTCACGCCAGCGGCACGGCCCACCTTTCCCTGTCACCCAGCTCCCGGGGCGGGCAGCAGGAACACTTCCCCATCCGTGCAGCCCTCCTGCCCTGCCTGCGAATGCTGCCAGCACCAGTGCAGGC